ACATCTAAGCAGGGTGACCTGCCCCTCCAACAGAACTACCTTTACACCCCCCCTCCCATTATATAATGATTGACTCCAGTAGTGGTAGCTCAGTATTATTACAGCTGATTTCATTATGGCCATTGTTGTGTTACTTGCTGAGATCACTTTGCTGGAAGCCAGTTTAAATCAGATGACTTCAAAAGTTAATCAGTTGTACACTGATAACTTTCTGAGTGTTTCAGTAAAATCCATCCAGTGCTTCAAGAGCTATTTTGTTAACATACAAACTGTCCCCGCAAAAATAAATATTAAATAAATAATAAATAATTTTAAAAATTTAAAAAACAAGGTTCATATATTTATAGCCATTTTGTGAATTTAAAGGTTGATTAGCTGTATTCTGTATTGTGTTTTGGAAAATATGTGCACAGGAGAGGTGGTGATGTTTCTGATATGTTAGGCGTTCACATAATAAAAATGTTGTGGTTTTCTTTAGTACACATAAATGCCAAAACTGTTGTATATTTGGGTTTAAAGTTGTGTATTGATAATTGTGTAGACTAGGGGTCTGCAACCCATGGCACTGGGGCCTCAGGCGGGCTCTTTGAAGCTTTGACAAAAGCTAACATGAGATTATTATTTATTTTTTTATTTGTTTTTTACTCACAACAGAAAAGGATAACTTTAGCAGTTTTCTGTCAGTTTTACAAACATGAGATCAATAATACAAGAGTGAAACATGTTGATTAGATAGAAGCCTGCTGGCCACTTTAATAATCACACTTCCTGCCAAATCCATCAGGGTTACCTTTAAAGGCCTTTAAGACTAGACCAGGGGTCTGCAACCTGCAGCTCTGGGGCTTCATGTGGCTCTTTGGTCCCTCTGCAGTGGCTCTTTGAAAATATGAACAAACATAACAGATTTTTTTTTTGTTTGTTTGTTTCTACACCCACAACAGAAGTCAATTTGTATGCAAATATGTGATCAATACTGAAACAAAAAGTAAAACATGTTAGCTCATGCGAGCCTGTTGTTTACTTAAAGATTCCAATTTCTTTCTATGCTCTCTCTCTCTCTCACTCTCTCTCTCTCTCACTCTCTCTCTCTCTCAAATCCATCAGAATCACCTTTAAATTATTTGAAGAATACATCATAATAAGAATAAGAATTAGAAAAAAAAGATGCCTGAATAATTCAGTTGTACTATTTTTTATGAAATTCGGTCTAAACTATATACGGGATTTTTCTTGTTTACATGAATATGGTCGTTTTACTAGTCCTGGTGTGTATAATAACAAATAATATAATAAGAATAACAATAATCTTTTAGTTTTATAATGTCACCTCCACTGACCGTAAAGGTTCCCAAAAAGGCCTCGAAAAGGCCCACTAACCACCAGTTGATAATCACAGTTGTAGCTTGTTTTGGAGCTCTGGACATTTTTTTTAGTGAGATAAGAAGCACAAATGGCTCCTTTGATAGTAAAGTGTGCAGACCCCTGGACTAAACAATAATAGAAACAATAATGTCTTCATTTTCAGTTTTAGTTTTTATTAAATTTGGTTTAAACTATATTGTTTTTTTTTTACATAAATCCAAACTTTTCTTTTGTCCTATTATGTAAAAATAAATATAAACATTAAAATTCAATATGTATTTTTAGTTTCATAATGTTACCTGCACAGGCTGGAAAGGCCCCATCAACAAACTCAAACTGGCCCACGGGCCACTTTCAGTGTTTTGTGGCTCTGAACACAGTTTATTAGGGAAACAAGGAGCAGAAAAAGCTCTCTTGATTTTAAAGGTTGAAGATGTTAAAAAATATTGTATGAATATGATAACTATCTTGTGTCTCATATCGTATGTATCACTGACGAGCTCAGCGCTACAGGTGCAGCTAAGTCAGACTGAACCAACTCAAAGCTGGGGGAGGTGGTGTAAATAATGTAGTTTGTTAGTGAAAGTCAAATCAGAATCAATAACCACTGCATGTTTTTGTCTCATTGATGGGAGTGACAGCATGTTTTTAAGTGATAATGTTCTGTAGAGATGAACACTATGAGGCTCAGCTCTATAAATACAGTTTATTGAACGTTCACCCCTGAGAGTGAGGTCGGAGGAATCCATGTCGGCTGTGACCCCAATCAGAGTGGTCCCTCATCGATGGCGGTCCCCCTGCAGCTCTTTAACGTGAACTCGTCTTTCAGCTCCTCTGGTGGACGTGAGTCATGTCCATATGTTGAGGACACGATGTCTCTGCTCCCCTCAGCTGGGAGCTGAGTGAGGAGAGGACAGGTTCTGTGTTCCTTAGAGCGTGACGTCCTCTGTAACAAGACTGGAGACGGGCCCAGGTTCTGAGGGGATGTGACCCACTGAGCCTGGCACAGCTTAGGGCCCGGGCAATCTGCTGCTTTCCCTAACACTGTTGGTTGAACTACAACACTGTGTGACAGCAGCGACAAAAACAGATACAAGAGGTTGTTACAGAGACTTATTTTACCTTGAGACAAATCTGCATAAAACAGCTGATCTGATCCAGACCCTGGGTTTAACAGAGCTGATAACAAAATACGATTTTTTTTTTATCTGGAAAGTGTTTTTGATCTAAAGAAGAACTCAGAGAGCAGTATCATCTGGCTCTGCTTCATCTTCCTGTTTTCATCAGAACAAATCTTTTTTGCTTAGTTAGTTGTTTCTTTCTTTGAGTTTTACAGGTTATTCCTTTTCATTGGTAAAGTGTTCTGTTGTTCTGCTCCCTGTGTTTTCTGTCTTGTTTCTCTGTCAGTTTTCTCCGGTCAGACCCACGCTCACCTGATCCTGGAGTCTCTCTCCAGGTGTTTCCCATTGTTGTCTTGTCCATTTATAATCTGTGTCTTGTCTCTCGTTCCCCGTCTGTGCATTGTGCTTTCTGCACCTGCTCATGTTTGTGCCTCGTATTTTATGTTCCAGAGATAATTTTTTAACCCCCTCGTACGCCTTTGAGTTTTTCCTGTTAGTAGTACTTGCTGCCATGACTTGTTGTTTATTTTGTTAGTGAAAGTCTTTATTTTTACCTTTTTGAGTCCCCGAGTTTTGTTCTTAACTTTGAGTTTAACTACCAACCAATTCTATGTGCAAACAAGATACTAATAAAAGTGATATTGGTAAACTTTACTGTAAAAATCAAAAACATTTTATAACTATTGCATGTGATCATTTGATTCACTTCTGTGAATACAATGCCAACAGACCATAGCAAATTACTCAGCTATCCTCTATGAGAAGATTTTGGATTGATTAAATTTTTATTAATTTAATAATAATAATAATTTAGTCTTATATAGTGCTTTTTGAGACCCTCAAAGATGCTTTACAATTTCATTCGTTATTCATTCATACACACAATAACAGTAAGCTACATTGTAGCCACAGCTGCCCTGCTATACTGCAACGAATGGGGGATTGGGCCAGCAACCCACTGGTTACAGGACGACTACCCACTCTGCCACATTAAGAACTCATTCTCATTTATGACAACAAAGATTCTAAGGAAGTCAAGACAGCCTTCAGAGATGAGCTTGGTGGATACAGTATGGTATCATCAGCATACAAGTGAATACTCGAACTACAAGCAGCATGACCGATGTTCTTTATAGGGCTGCACAACATCAGGAAAACCTGTGATGTGCAATAACAGTGCTTAATATTGCGATGATGATATGACATGCGATAAATGAACAAATATGTAAGTATGTAGTGTTTATGTCTTTCTGTTCTGGGTTCTGAACAAAAAAAACCAAACAAACAAAACTAATCATTTTCATTCTGGTATGAATTTTTAAAAATATGAAGAGTAATACATGAAGGGCTCCATTTCATTGGTGAAATCCTTCAAGCTTCCGTCTGAGTGACAAAATTCACAAATGCAAACTTTTGAGCTAACCATTTATTGCAGTTTATGCAGTTGTTACAATATGCATATTGCACAGGCCGTTATCGCGATGACAAAATTTTTTCAATATATTGTGCAGCCCTAGTTCTTTATGTCAATTTTAAATAACACTGGACCTAGTATAGACCCCTGAAGGACACCAGTGGACTGGGGTATGGGGCTGGATTGGTAACCCCCAGCTCGCACTGACTATACACGACCAAATACTGTACATAACATCTGAACCACAGCAAACTTTCCTCTGACAGATTATTTTAAATGTATCAACTGTAACTGGAGAGAATATTGCTTCTAATCTTTTAATGGTCTTGTTCAAACTGTGGACTGTTTCACTTACTCTCTCTTTTCACAATTTTGCTGACCAGCAGGTTAATACTGCTAAACTGGTAAACAGCAGCTCCACCTACGTACTATATATCATACCTGATTTGCATTAGTGGATGCAAATCAGGTGTGCAGGCTTTTTCAGAATTTGAAGAGATTATTAAAACACTGAATCAGGTGTGTTGGAGCAGAGAAACAAGGAAAAAATCCAGGTTAGCACCCCTCCAGGACCTTAGATTGACACCCCTGACCTACATAGTGGATACAAGCTGGATTACAGAGGTTCTTTATTTTCTTAAACTAGGAAAAAATATGGTGATATTTTCTGGCAAGGGTGGATCATTTGTTTAAAATCACGTGTTTAAAATAAGGCACATACAGGGCTACAACTAATGATTATTATATTAATCGATTAATCGGTCAATCATTTTTTTCGATTAATCGAAGAATTGGAAAACAAAACAAAACAAAACAAAAAAACATTTTTAATTTTGACCTCTTCATTCCAAACTAGAAAATTTGGACTGTCATAAATCCCACAAAAAACAGGTTATATGTAATATTAAATTGTAATGCATGAATAAGGAATTATTTGTCAAATAACTTCAGTAAAAAAAATTAATGTACACAAAAATATGCACAAATGTGTGCTATATCCTTCAAAGTCTTTTCATATTTTGTCTATTTTATTGATTAGTTGTTTCATCCCTAATATCTAATTGGAGACAAAGTTAACCCTTAGTTGTGTGGTACCTCTGCAGGTCTTTTTTAATAAATGTGTGAGGTCATAGCAGACTGCAGCAGCATCGGAGGAGAGTCGTGACCAAAGGTGAAGAGATGAACCTGAGATCCTCCAGAGGACTGTCACCTGTGATCCGAGGAGCTCTTTATGTCCACCTGCTGGCTGGGATCATTCTGCCGTCTCACTCAGAGAGTAAGTTCACCTCTGACTGTCGCACATGAGTTTTCTGCTGGAATGGAACTGAAATCAAAACTTTTTACATTATCACCTACCACTTGTGTCTGTGTGTGAGTTTGTCTGTAGCGTCACCATGAACCAGTGGGTATATTTTCATGAATGTTGAAGGAAAGGAGAGCTACAACTGATTAACTACCGAGGTTAACCCAATTAAAGATGGCCAACAATTATTTCAGATGAAACTTGTGCCTAGTAGGTTAAATTGTGTTTTCAGGTTGGTTTTTGACCTGATGTTTGACAAGCTGTTTCTTAGTCCTTGTTATCTTTTCTCTGTTTCTCTAACAGGCATGCCCAGTTTTGTCCGGTCCCCAGAAGATCAGACGGGTATTTCAGGAGGAGTGGTATCCTTCATCTGTCAGGCTGTGGGGGAGCCAAGACCCCGCATCACTTGGACCAAGAAAGGGAAGAAAGTCAGCTCCCAACGATTTGAGGTTTGATTCTACAGAGCTGGTCTTAGAACCCCTCAACTGACATTGTAATAGTGACTTGTTCCCGCATACACTACTTTTCACATCTGTTTACACATTAATTATAAAATATATTATTACACAAGCGTAAAGTTGGAAACGCCTCTGCCGTAAAAATGCAGTTTTGTGCCCTCAGTTCATTTATTTCCAACAATAATTCATGTACAGTAAACACACCATCGCTGCTCTTCACGCATGATGTTTTTTTTACAGCCCACTACTAATTCAGTCCACTTCCTGTCCCATTAAATGTTTTCATTTTCCATTCGTCTAGACATCACTTTTTTAAACACATATTTATTATTTTTTGATTTATATCAAGAACATAGGAACAATTTACAAATACATAATTATACTTTTAGACAAAGCAAAAGCATACACAAATACAGAGGAGGAGGAGAAAAAAAACACACAGCATACCCATCAACAGATCAACCAACAAAATATTTAATTTGTCTTACCATATGAACTTATGACAAGTCCTCTTTCCACGAGTCAAGTTGGATAAGACAGACCAGATTTCCCAAAATTTGTCCAGCTTGTTCTTAGTGAAATGGCTTATTTTCTCAAGGGCAAAGTAAAAGGACATTTGTTTAAGCCATTGTGAAATGACACATAATGTCTATTTTTTTCCATGAGGATGCAATACATTGTTTAGCTTCCAAAAAGCAGTTATTAAGCGGGGATCTCAAGTTGTTTGAGATAGCAAAGTCTTCAGGATAAATATTTAAGATGCACATTTTAGGATTTAAAGGAACCTCTTTACCAATCAAGTGACTAACCACAGTCAATACAGCCTTCCAAAAAGCCAACGCTCAATGGCAGCCCCGCTAGACATCACTTTTGATGAAAAGGAGAATCACACGTTTAAACAGAGGCATGGCCTTTGCCATGCGCTCAGTTCCACATTCGTTGGGATGTATGAAGGACAGCTGTGCAGAAACATGCGTGTGCACAGTGGAATAAATCTGAATATTTTTATGTGTACAAACTTTTCCAATTTGGTCCACACGCCAACTCTCAGCATGGATGCTGTGCACTCACAGATACACGAAGCCCCTGGTGTCAGCTGTATATGTTTAAATGTTTCCAGACTTGTGAGGAAACATTTCTAGAATTCAGAGAAAAAAATATGTTGAATAAATTTATTAGAGCATTTTTCTCATGCATTAAACAGTGATGAAGTTTCTCTCTGTTTTTTGCCTTGAGCACATGCCCTCCTCCTCCATAGGGGATGATGCATCTTATGGTCTTTATTTTATTGTCAATTATTTCTAGGAAGCTGTGATATAAACCAGCTCATTGGTTTTTACGATAGTCTGAGTGAGTTTGTACAACTGCATGTTCCAACAGCCTTTCAGAAGGTACTTTATCATTTAGCTTTGGTAAAAACCCATTGGTTTCCGGTCTTCAGCCTTACGTCACCTAGTCTAACAAAACCTGGCAACAAGCATGGACTGACTCCCAGATAATGTAAATAATGTACGGTATGTATTCCTCTACTGTCAGGTGAAGGAGTTTGATGGTGGTTCTGGCTCAGTTCTGCGTATCCAACCTCTGAGGACCAACCGGGATGAAGCCATCTACGAATGTACGGCCACCAACAGCATGGCGGAAATCACCTCTACTGCCAAGCTGAACGTCTTGGAGGGTGAGACCTGAGTTCTGTCACTTTTAACATGTTCATGTATATGAATGAACATTAATGCTAGGGTTTGTTTTCATTTGTCCCTGTTGTTTGTGTTTATTTTTAACGACACAGATTAACTTCCTGAACACCCTTGAACCATTTTTAAGATTTGGGAATCATATTTATTATATTTGTCAGACTGAAAGTCTAAATTTAACTGCCAACGTCTAAAAATCTTTTTATGTGAGTTTATTTTGGCTCCTTGAGGTCCAGGGTCTGGACTCTTCCCAATGTGGAATGTGTAAACTGGGTCCTGCTGGCTTTAACTCCCAGCAGTGGGACAAGGAGAGGACATTTGAGGGACAATGAGGTGTTCTCAGACCAGAGAAGGCACACAGTCGATCCAGTGAGTTCTGGGTCTGCTGGGGTCTATTTCCAGTCTGACATGCCTGGAAAACCTCCAAAGGGAGACATCCAGAAGCATCTTAATCAGATGCTTGAACCACGTCTACTGACTCCTTTTGATAAGTCCTATAATCCTAGCTTCCCCAGATGACAGAGCACCTCATCCGATCTCTAAGGCGAGACCCGGCCACTCTAATAAGGAAACTCCGTTTAGCTGCTTGTATCGCGTTCTTTTGTTCTTCATCCAAACCTCATGACCATAGGTGAGCGTTGGAAGGTAGACAGACCAGTAAATCGAGAGCTTTGTCTTTCAACTCAGCTCTTTCTTCACCCCAGTCGACGAAGCAACACCCTCATTACTGAAGACCTCAATTAATTCAATCTCCTGCTCCATCCTACCATCATTCCTGAACAAGACATCCAGATACTTAAACTCCTCCCCTTGAGACAAAGACTCCTCCCCACGACGCATTTCTACACAGTTTTGAGTTTTATGGTTGGACCCCTCCCAGGCTCAGGGTTGTGGATTAAACCATTACAAACACGGCTCCAGCTAAAATGGTTTGTGTCTGTCTCAGAGGACCAGATACCCCACGGTTTCCCCACCATAGACATGGGGCCCCAGCTGAAAGTCGTAGAGAGAACCACCACAGCAACAATGCTCTGTGCAGCCAGCGGGAACCCTGACCCAGAGATCTTCTGGTTCAAAGACATGCTGCCTGTGGACACCAGCAGCACCAACGGGCGAATCAAACAGCTGCGTTCAGGTGAAGCCTTTTTCTTCTCAGTCTGTGTGATTATGGAAATGATACAAAGTGATGTTCCTGACTTCACGTAGAAGGAACAGAACACTTACTGTAAATGTGCAATATAAAACACACAAAGAGGTAACTTTACCCTGAAAAATGTTATTTAAAGACTTGTTCAGACCTGGCTTTAAAGAGCCAACTCTGGTGATTCACCTGCATGTGAACGGCTCTGACTGAGAGCGTTCACACCTGGATTCAGCTGCATCTGAATACAAGTCGATAGTTAAAGATAGATTTAATCACGTTGTTTGAACAGGACCTAAATTTGCAGTACATTGAACAGGGTAATAAATAATAAGGTATTAATACAAAACAGATTGTTTTTCTAATTAAACTGTGAGAATTGACTACACACACCCCTTAACAAGGAACACTACAACACAAAAATGTAACACTTCCAATCCAGACATTGTGAAAATATAATAAGGTTTTTATTATTTTTCACAATGAACCTTGAAAATCAGTCATGGCACACTGACTTGATGTTACAGTGTGGCATGTGAGACCAGAAAGAGGGGCAGTGATGGTGGTATTATCCAGTCCAACACCCCCACAACCCCCCACCTCTGGAAGCTGCTGATGAGCCCTTTATCAAAACCCCACTGGGTCACACAGCTTCCAGTGTTCCCCCCTTCATCCCCTCTGTTATTTATTGTTACCAGTTGTATCAGTATCATATCACTGACATCCTAACCAGCCCGCTGTACCATTAGCTGCATATGAACGGTTCGGTCAGGTACAGAGACCGAAGAAGAATCAAACAGCCTTAAAACTCAGCACGCCCTGTATTACTGAGTTTTATCATGTAAGCCACAGAGACTTTAATATCAAACATATCTGAAACATTTGTGCAACAAAGTTGTTGTTTTTATCTCTGACCTGTCTCATGAGCATCAGGACTGGATTGTTTCACCTGCGTGAAGCTCTCTTCTGACAAAATAAATTAAAAAAATAAAACATTTGCAGGTCTAAAAACAAAACCCACCCTGATAGTAATAATAATAAAAAAGAATAAAAAAAATTCTTCATTTCCAAAGTGTAATGCAGCAGATTAAACCAAAGAAGTGGGGCCTGCTGCATAGCTGGGTAGAATGTGGGCAGAGTTAGACAACAGAATTATGTGCATGGTCAAGAACGCAGTTTTAAAAACTGTCTACTCAAAATGCAGCTGCACAGATCATTTGTTTCAGTGAGTTTATCCTGCTGCAGTACACTTTAGAAATAAAGACAGGCAGAGTTGGACCAGTTTTTCTCATAATTGTTTCAAATCAGTGTGATTTTTGTAGACCTTTTAAATAGTTTTATTCTCTCAGAGGAGAGCTCCCTGCAGGTGACAATAATCCAGCTCTAGAGCTTTCAAGAGTTCAAAATGCTTGCCAAGACTCTGCAACTATTATGAGAGAAGATTTATGACACATAACTGTTCAAAACTTAATTCAAAAGACTCTGAAACTCCGGTGAGGAAATTGTGTATGAGTCACCAAGTGTAAAATAAAATGTTAAAAATGTCAATAACACATTTTCATTATTCAGCTCACTTTGAGTGTAAAATCCTTGTGAAAATTTTCAACTAACGTTTTATGGTTATTTAGCCCACTGTTCCTACATTTGCTAATTTTTACTAAATGTTAAAGCCTGTGTAAAAATTAAATCCTAAATCTAAATGTGAAAGGTAAATCGTTAATATCGCAGCTAAATGGTAAAGTTTATTTTAAAGGGGACATATCATGCAAAATCCATTTATTTTGTAAAGATTTGGCTGGGTTGGTTTGAACCCCAAAATGCAGGACTGAGTGAGGGTGGCAAAAAAGGTTTATTAAGACAAAACAAAAGGTGCTGACGTGGCAGCAAACAGGAATAGGAGATATGGGCAGGATCAAGAACATGAATAAAGAGCAAGAGAACAAGCGATCGCAAACAGTAAACAAGGATCTGACACCAGACTGAGACAAGACAGGAMTTAAATACACTGACAACTAATGGACAAACTGAGAACACCTGGTGAGAAACACGAGGGTGACTAATCAGACAAATAAGGGCAGCTGGGCTGAGACACACTGGGGAACATAGAAACACTAGGAAAACCAAGGTGAAACTGACAAATCATGACATATTTAGTTGTTAAATATGTTTTGTTTTGAACTCGTAGGATTGGGCATATTCGTATTGTGTGCAATTAATTGTCAGAAAAACATTAATCGATTATTTCTTAGCACTTGATGATTAATACGATTAATGCCACCAGGCAGAGTCCGCTCGGTAAAAAAAGTTCTGCAATTTATTTATCAACACAATTTAAAAATTGATGTATAGCCTGAAGTCTGTAATTTTGACCCAATTTGGAACAGATTTTTACGGAGAAAAAATCTTTTCCACTAAATTGGTCGTGTGACTAGGACATAAGGGTGTCCAGGGACTCCAGGGGATTAATCGTCAAATTAATCATTATCGGTTAAATACCACAATTGATCGTGATTCATTTTTTTGCCAATATTGCCCAACTCTATAAATTGGAATCTCTGTGCAGAAATTTTCAGTTAAGTTTCTCCCGTAGATAACGTTAAATTCTGTTGGGTCATATTTTTCTACCTGTTCCATTTTCTATAGCGTTTTCTGAACCAACATGTCAAATGTTTGTGACAAATTCTAAAAAAAATGTCTGAACTTAAGGCCCTGTTACACTATAATGTTTTAAACAACTTATGTCAACTTGTGAAAATTTTAAAGATATTTATGTTGAAGACAAAATAAAAAAAATCAACTGGAAGCCTCTTTTAGGTGTGTACATACTGTAATGCTAACAAACTGATCAATTGTATAAATTTTATTAGTAATTTAGACGTAAAACATATTTCATAAGTTGGCATAGGTTGTCTAAAGACATTATAGCGTGACAGGGCCTTTACCAACCGCAGTTTGCAGTTCATTCTCCTCTGGCTTTGGGTCAGACTCTGACTCCAACATGTAAGGCTGGACGGACAAGTCTTCCCTTGCTGACATCTTTTTATTCATTTGTAAATAAAAAGTTTCTATGCCACTACATAATCGTAAACCCCTCAATCAGACCAGTCGGGAAGCTAGACGGGGGGTGTGGTGTGAAGCCCCTCCTTTGCCTTTAAAGAGACAGTCTGAAAACGAGTTACTTTGAGACACGCCTCAGAAAAAGGGTTCAAAGAGGGGATTGTGGAGTTACAATAAGGATGAATTTAGACCAAAGCATTTCAGTTCCACTTTACATAGACTGAAGGATCTAAATGTGAAAAAGAAGAATTTAAAAGCATCATATGTCCACTTTAAATATTTCAGAATGGTACACAGCCTTTGCTGTTGATGCTCGGCTCTTGTTAGGACGTCATCATCCTGAGACGATAGCAACTGCTAGTGCTGCAAATTCTGCCAACACATCTAACCTTTACCTACAAGACATCAAACATGCGGTTGTGGCTGCTGTCCAGGCTGCACTTCAAGCAGCTGGACCACAGGTACCATCCATGTTGTTTTCAAAGAAAACATTTGGAATTTAAATTAGTGGTTTACTATATTAATGGTTGCTTTTGTCACAGGATGATGACGTCTAACACTGCAAATGCTGCTAACGCTGCAAATGCTGCTGCTAATGCTGCTAGTGTTGCTAGCTTTGCTAATGCTGCTGAAGATGGCATTTAAAATTTAAAGATAAAAACTTATATCTTCTGTTTTTGTATGTCTCTCTTTCCCCTGCTGTCTATTTTTTATACTAACGATTATTTTGAATTTTATCTGCATTCAAATTACCTCACAGGTGGTACACCAATAAGAGGTAAGAATGCCGGATCCAGAAAACGTGTCTTCATCCCCCTCACTTGTTCATAACCCCCCCACCCCACCCCTCTTGTCATGTCTTCATTCCATGCTCCGTCCATGTCTCAGTAACCTTTCAAAGGTGTGGATGCTCTGGAAGAGATGAAAACAGGAGGGAGGTTCACACTAGAGAAAAATAAAAACACTCATTACTGATAGTTTTCAGTTTACAAATGATGTAACAGCTGATTTAAAGGCTGAACAAACACCGGTACTGTTTTTTGTGTGTGTGTGTGTGTGTGTGTGTGTGTGTGTGTGTGTGTGTGTGTGT